CTGACGCAGCATGTCTCCCCAGGCGCCTCTGCTACGTGCGCGCCTTTCCAGTCTCGTACATCAAGTCCAGTTAGTGCTCCCTCAACTTGATCACTCCACCGGAGACATGAACTGACTCTACGTCTTCTTCCGCCAATTACTGCTTCAACTACCTTTTTCGCTGCGCTGAATTGAAATGTCGTGATAAAGCTCGTACAGCTCGTGATTCATTCTTATGCGGTAATCGTCGCCAACTCGTAGAGAACCAAAGATCTTACGAAGAGTTTTTCTCTTACAAACAGTTTATGATAAATAATTGTTAGAGAGACAATAGATCTGATAGAGTGAATCCAAATCAGAGTTTTTAAGGGTAACCAATGTCTTAATCATCATATGTATGCTTAAGGAAAGACTTCAGTTCAATATGAGGACAGAGTACAGTCCTTCAAAACAAGTAGTTCTAAAGAAGTTTTGTCAAGATTTTAAGAGAATCAGACATATAAAATGTGTTGCTAAACATATGTGTGTCGTGAGCAAGTTTCGAAAAAATAGTTCATTCCAATATAGGAGACAAAGAAGAGACCCTCAAACTGTTTCTAAAGAAGTGTTGTCGAGAATTCAAGAGATCCGGTCAGATTAAATACATTACTATACGTATGTGTGTCATAAGCAAGTTTTAAGAAATAATTTATTCCAATATCAATGAGAGACTTTCGACTATCAAAACTGATAGCTCTAAAGAAGCTTTGTCGAAATATAAAAACTAGACACAAACAAAGGAAACAAAGGAGCAACGTTTTCCTATCAAAGTCTTTGTAAAATTTTCTTAAAATAAGATTAGTTCAAGCATTCACTCTCTTTTGCACCCATCATGCTTCCCAAAACTAGTTGGTACTTAGTGGCTAATATGTGCGTACAAACTAAACTTAATTCGTAGCGATGCTGTAGGAAATATGACAAGCCGGGTGCAAAGGAAATTTTAGCCGGTTTAAATTTGGTCATGTCAGCCAAGTTTATCTGTACCTCGTCACTATTATTATTAAATAATAGGCTATGAATGCACCCCGACCTAAAAGATTTATTGTGTGCCTAAAGACCCAACTAAGACAATTCTAGACTATTTATAAATCTTGTAATTGCTGTGGGCTTAATTTTACATATTTGATTTGGTACTAAGATCTTCGTTCTCCTCATGACAGAGTCGAAGGGATCACTTTCTACCGTACCTATAATCTTCAAGTGGTTATTAAGTCTACAGTAAGAAATTCCTGTAAGAAATTCATTGTAGATTTTAATATCGTTTCTGCTAAGGCCAAGGATAGCATCAACTTTGAAGTGTTCAGGATCAAGGAGTAGTCTTGACTGTCGCATACCTGTTTGGGCTCTCCAGTGTTCAAATAGATGTTGTTTCTCATGTTCACACAGAATAAGTTATGCTTCGTCACTAGATTACATAAGATTAGATTAGATTATGCTGGCAGATCAAACAGGCCACGCGTAGACCTTTAAGATCCATTGCGATACCAGATCAGAGTCTTGTTTTAGCGATTGTATGCATTACTTAGGATGCGCGTTTCATTAGCAAAATTTATTAAGATTCCAACAGAAACCTTAGGTATGTACTCCAGTCCTGCAAAACTGAAAGCCCCCAAGTATTTTTGTCGAGTTCTCGAGAGAGGCGGGCAATTACACAGCAGATGCTGTAAGATGCAGAGATAAATATCAACATTTGTATCTTTAAGAAACAAATTATTACAATTTTTGCGACACTCTGCATAACATGCATTTTCGTCACAGCCCAAAAGTATCAATTTTGACGAGCCCGTGACACTCTAAATGGCACTTAGTCAATACAAGAACCTTGTTCGGAATGTTGAAGCTTGAGTGAGGGATAAGTTAATTTGATTTTATTAAAGTACAATACAAATTAACTTCATATATGTTTTATTCCTCAAATAAATAAAGATTTAATACTTGAACCAATAGTTCAATAAAGGCCATTTTTTAAATATTTTATATAGAAAATATATCAAAGTTGAACGGGCACGAAGGAGCGGCAACGCCAACTCTGACTTCAACGAGAACATTTCTGTAAAACATTGCAGAGGTCAGAAGTGCTTTTAAGCAAATATGAGGCAAATAAGTGACATTTTTAATAAAATCTGAGAATCGGCACGATTATAGAATTTCAATGATGCAGCAAATGCTGCTTTGCTTAGAACAGAATTTTTGCACGGCAGCTTGAAGGCGACAATGACTTCTTGTGTTTAATTTAACTTAAATAATGTGAACAGAAAAAGATTTATTGATGTTAAGCAAAGTTGCAGTTAAAGGTTAAAATGTTGATTTAAAGAAAATTTATGCTAAACACATGAAATTTTATAAAATGAGGCATTGCTTTTTTGTTTTTAGATAAAGAAAAAAAAATATTTCAAATCATGCAAACAATAAAAAAATACTCACGATAGCCGCAACTCAAATGTATCTATGCATGTCGCAATCTACAGAGTTGATCGATAGTTTTGCGCTCAAATAAATGAACGAAAATCTCGATGTGATCAATCAATTCGCGTCAAAGAAAACAAACTGAAATTATTGTGCATTATTAGCAATCAAAATAGTGCTTTTCTTCAAATTTTTTTTAAATTTATAGCTTTTGTTTTCTCTATACGAGTATTCGAGTATTTTTGGCTGTCGCTGTTGTTGTTGCGTTTATTAGACCCTAATTAATAAGATACAATGCGTTGGTTGTTTTGTATGAAATTGAGATGTATCGCATTTTTATTCACCAGAAAAGCAAGAAAAGCATTCGATAAATTAATAAATTGACATTTGTTTCTGTTGTTCGTGTTCGTTCGTATTGTTAATATTTGCCTGCTGACATTATTGATTGTTGTCATTATATACTTTATGTTCCTAACAAGATGTCATTGTTGACATTTAAAATATTTCATCTTCTGACATCTTCAAATTAATAACTAAGTTTAGAATATCATCAATGGAAATGTTGTTGGCTTCGGCTACAGAAGAAAGTTGAGTAAGGTGAAATTTTGAATTAGTATTGCTACGTTAGTAGGTCAAATGCATTAACTAGACGAAATTAGATTATCAAATTTCATTTTTTTTTTCTTCTTGAATTCAAACAAAAATTTTAGAAAATTGATTGAATTTCTGTTTATTTGAAATGGAAGGCAATTAGTTATCATTTTTGAGGAAGTGAATTTATAACAAATTAAACGATATGTATATTAAACATAAACGATCATTGAATTATGATAAACAACATTACAACTCGACCTCTTCTTATAATTCAAATTAAAAAGATTTTATACATATCCAGTTTATACATAATATAAATAGACAATTTGATACTTTAGTAAGAAAGGAATACTATTAGCTTCTCTAATAGTAAAGAAAGGAAAGGAATAAATGGATGTATAGCTCCCAACCAAACGGAACACTGCGATCATGATTGATCTTTTGGTTTACAACAGACCCTAACCGAACAAAAGATTCTGTCTTCCGAATGAAGGCCAGAATGTCGACTGTTGAGTTAGGAGATACTCAACTGTCTCTAATAGTTACTTTAATTGTAAAAAAAAAATTCTGTGAACTATCATCTTTTAATAAGCTGTTGTAAGAATATGAGCAAACTGCGTCTGGTTCATATATGAAAGCAAATAAAAACATACAACCCCCTGAATTTCCTGACAATGCGCAAGTTAACACCAGTGCAGACACCACAGAAATTGTAAATTAAGCTAAAAATTGCTATTCTAGCCAACACATTTTCTAGAACAAGTCACTTACAACTATTTCCTGTTTTTGAATGTGAGAAAATGGTAGGTTAGGTTAGGTTAAGAAGGCGTGCGCTGACAGTTATCAACATTTCTACACTCGGAGACATACATTGCCCTTTATGATGCCCTCAAAGAAAGCCGGAAGAGGCGAATTGTTAAGCTTCGTTATCTTCTATCCTTGTTAAACCATTTGGTTTTCCAGATGAAGTTGAGAAGAGTCGATAAGTTTGCTTTCATTACCTCATCCAGGCCAGTGAAAAATCGAGCGAGGAAATGTTAAGATAGTAAAACAATTAGGTCAAACAAAGAAGTCGTCATCCAAATAAATCAGTGTTTAGTAGATCTAGAAGAAACCAATTAATTGGAAGAGATAAAAAAATTTGGAAAAATCTTTAACTAATTTTATAGAGCTAAAGAGGCTATTAAAGTTTTCATGACATGCAGATCTATAACAAGTAAAAGTTAAGGATTTGCACTAAAGCTACTGTAGTAGATTTGTACAGAAACTGTCAGACTTGTGAATACTTAAAGGACTGCACAGGAATAGAAAGACCGCCGTTTGTAATACGGGACTATATAACAATTAAGCTTGTCTTAGTATTTGCACGTTTTCACATTTATATTCAATCCCAAAGAAATAGGGTCATTTTTTTGGATGATCCAATACAAAATCTGTTTGAACAAGAAATTTGATACTCTTGTAAAGCAACTTCCTGAAATTTAAATTTTAGGAAACAGCATGCACCTAAAGTATAGTTTCATAAAATGTTATAAAACTGAACTTAGTAACATAAATAATGAGGACAGTGTATCTAAAGCCTACGAAATAAGTCAGAACATATTTACTTAGCATACAAGTGAATTATTCACTGAAGGACTTGATACAGGTGATTATGGATGGTGATTGAAATACTCAAAAGCGCTATGTATAAACACAACAGTATTTTAAGCAAGAAAGTTATTCTCTAGGTGTTTGTATACCGGCCAAATAAGTATCATGTTTATATGGATGTTTCCTCTATTCTCAGAAAAAATAATAAAAAGAGGATCCCAGTAACACTTCTTTTTCTGTTTTCTCATAATGTGATCACAATATAATTTCTTGGGCACATAAATATAGTAATTTAAAAAGAAACTATATTAAACTTTTTAGAATAATAATTATTTCTTTTCGTCCCTTGTTTTTGTCCGAAAAATGTTTACATTCTACATTGTTACATGTTTATTCTCTAATTGATTTTATTGACAGATATTTTCATAAAATTTTAATAAAGGATTTTTATACTGTTTCAGTGTTCGTTGATCGGGAGAGTCTTCCAATTTCTCGTGTATAATATAACAAACATTTTGTATATATTCTTGATTTATAAAGTCTGTCAGATTATCCCTCTTATCTAACGTCTTCATAGCCTCCGACAAACAGTTTATGATTTCACTATCTGTAGTAATTGTTTGTTTTATATATAGCGTATCAGATTCAGTTAAAGTAGAATTTCTTGAATTGACAATACAAAGTAGCAAAATATTAGAGTTTTCTGCAATGAATTCGCGAACTTTCTTCAGTTTATAATAGTCATGAATCGTTTCCACGCAGAGTTTTATTAATATTGGAATGCACATGCAAAATAGTGCATTGTCCAAACAATCTAACGGATTTCTGAGAAAGGAAAACTTTCTAATAAAAGGTATGTGCTTTAGAATGACGCAAGATAACAAAACGGAACCAGTTGTTAGGATGTGTTTAGTTGTAAGCGACATTCTGGAACTAAGAAAAAGATTTCGGATATTCAAAATAAAGTATAAAAACATAGTAATATTACTTGCCTGATAAAACTATTCTGAAGTTTATTAATTACCTTGTTAGTGGATTATGAAGTACAGAGGATTCTGTAAAAGGATGAATTTTTATATATAGTAAGTACTTTTTCCATTGGAATATAGAAAGTCCATACTAAATCATATCTTTTATATTATTGTTAACTTACTAATAAATATTGCTGCATTTTCCTGATATTGGTTCATTGGCTTTCATAATGAGAAAGTACCAATCCTTTTATTCATGATTATTATACTATTTCACTGGATATTATGGCACCTATCTAGTCAGTTGCATTGAACTAGTTAATCTGCTTTTACATTTTATTGGCGAATTTGAGCAAATACGCTTGAAGACACATGGTCTTTTGAAGTGCTAAAATTTAAAATTTAGAATTACTGTCAAATTAATTTTTATCCATCAACTATATTATATTATACATTTTTTTCAATGTTAATACTGGCTTATAAATCTATGATATATATACATTAAAAAGAAATTCAAAAGAAATCAATTCAAAACTTCTTTCCAAATCTTTCAAATCTTTTTAAAATCCTTTGTATTGATTGTAGAAAACAAGGAAAAGAACTTTTCCGGTAACAGATTATATCTGCTAAGGTTATGTTGCTATGACAGGATTAAATAGGTAAATCTTAATAGGTAAATTTATACTAATCTTATTAAAAGGTGTACAAACTTATATTTATAACCTCTTTTAAAGATTGGCATAACATAAATGGAAGATTACAGTAGGATACTATATAGACACTTTTGTAGAATTGGTGCTCACACGAATTAATATACTTAAAAGAGTCATTAATACCAAGTGTCTTTAAATAGCATTTTGTGAATACCAAAATACCACAACATAAGCTAGTAGGATGTAGTCATACTACGATAGTATTCTACTACAGAGTCACAACCTAAAGCTAACACTGTCGCTGATGAGCAAATGTTGAATTAGTCTCTCTAGGCTAAAGGTAGTATGTACTGGTCTCCCTTCACAGGATAGCGTATTCCAATAAGTGAAGAAGAGATAAAATCTGTCATATTTTTTTCCGAGTCTACAGACGGAACGACTTAGAGTATTGGAATTAGTTTCTTCGCTGGTCTTGTAGAGATAACAGTTGTGAACTTGATGGATCTCCTCAGTTTTTTCTGAAAAACCACAAGGTTTTACAAGTTTAGTAACAGCGGTTACTACAACTCGCCTCTCCCAGGCAACTCTTAAAGCAAGAAAATGGGCAATGACGTCAATGATGACCAATTGGAAATACTGCCAGCATGTGTGACTTCTCAAGTTTACCTTACTAGATACATGGAGTTTTTTAAACTTAAGTATTTAAGTAGAAGCAGCTAAGTGTATCCTACAGTAGTCACATGAATTAATTACTTATTAGTTGCACTTCATTCGGGTCGCTTAATAGGTATATGGATATTACTCATATCATAGTTGGTGACATGAATATATGTTTTTATAGAACATACTTCTAACCTGTTAATATATTCCCATATCAAATAGTACATTTTATATTATATATTACTATTAGAAACTGTCATGAGTAACTGAGTCACGTCATGAGTATATAGTAATTATGCTAAACTATTTCGCTTTTGAAGTCAAACTCAAATCCAAATTTAAATAAAAACTAAAAAAAAACCAATGTAGTTAAAAAAATTAAACTTGGTCAAAATAATAGCAGAACAATTGATTTTAATTGCAATACGAGCAATCCAATCCAAATAATGAAAGTTGGAGCAATGCACTTTTACCGCTCGGAATTCAATGAGATTATAAATGTTTGCGCGATGTTTTTTGCTGTTAAAGATAGTTCCAATTGTTTGTGGGATACATATTTAGAGTATTACAGTTGAAGTTTTAGTGTTTTTGTTCAATAGTTTGTATGTTTCCTATTTCGGTTTCATTAAAGTTTCCATTGAAAACGTGTTCAAACAAAAACACTGAGAACACAAAGCCAAGCAATTAAATTGTCATTAGAGTTGAAAACATTTACGCTTGTCTAACAATCCGAAAATTTCCAGAGCAGTTCATAATGCACATTAGTTCGGATTGGTTTTCATTTGAACCGGTAATACGTATATGCAGGTGTATTCAACTCTATGGTTTATGTTCCGTGCATCATAAAGTTTCGCTACATTAAAATGAAGTTTAGAAAAAAGTTTCGGACTATTATTGTAATTAAATGATTTGACACCTGATAAGAACAAATGTCCATGTCGTTATGAGTTTCGGAATTGCTTTTAAATTAAACAGAATCATATGTCATGTTAGTTTCAAAAACTTTAAGAATTTCACGTCATATGTTGAGATACACAGCAATATGAACTAAGCAGGTTTAGAAAATTAAAGTTATATTATTAGCATATTAACTAGAAATTATGTGACTTCCATTTAAACTAAAGGGCCATTCAGTTTATGGCAGGAAAAATCTATGTAAAGTAAACACATTGTATTCAAATTTGATTGTCCACAAGTTTGTTTATACTAATGTTTGGACCTCACCAATAGGTGAGAAGATATTGAAATTTACTCCTCTATGTATCTTGTAGTGCTAGACTGTTTTGAACTAATTTTCACTGACTTACCAGGTATGTTTAATATCACCAGAGCTTCCTTTTCTGTCGAAGTAGTGCATATTTGTCGTTTTGTTAATTATTATATATATAAAGGTGTATACATTTCTATATATATTTGTATGTGTCAATATATTTCACTTTTAAGGTGTAAATTATTTCGTCATAATCGGATTAGTGTTGTCAGATATATGAGTACCAATACCACCTAGTGACAAAAAACGGCAAATAGTTTTTATATCACCTAATATTGATCTGTAAAAATTTCCATAGGCAGTGAAATGAGCGTTTTGCTAATATTGATTTTTGAAAACTTCCATAGACAGTGAAATGAACGTTTTTCTAATCGCATATCTAGTAGAATGAAAGCACATTTAAGGTTTATACTTGAGTAAAAATTACCTTCAAGTGTGTTTCTATTAACATTTCCATCCACACCACAAAAGCATCCATAAAATTTTAACAATGTTTCTCTTATCGCGTTAACATTATTACAATTTTAAAACATACGTATACGTATTATGGTATTGTACTATATATATACAACGCGTATCTGTTTGAAGATGGGCGCTTCGGTGCAAACAATGTAATGTAGATACACACACATATCTGCAGAACACTCGTGCCTGTTACATTTATGAATGAAGTAAGTCATATCGTCGCCAAATTACACTCCTTTTTAGGCAACAACCTATTCAATTACATGCATACCACACCACTCACGTAGCTCCACAGTTGCATATATGAAATCAAGTTATCCTGTTGATAAAATGGCGTTAAGAAGTCGTGACAATGGGGCACTACTGCCAGATGGGGGCCAAATACCCGAGTAGAACTCGTTATGGATTCAGTTATGACAATGTTTATATTTGTTTATTTGTATTTGTCATATGTGTAATGAAATTCTTCGTTTACTGTTGTAATATTATTTTATTGTATTATTGTAACTGCAATGTTAAAGGATACCACGAACACATGTAGATATTTATGCATGTCTGATGTGCTGTAATCTACAACGAAATTCGAAAAATTTTAGTGCTTGAATGCGGCAATTGTTGCAAACTCATCATAATGTGTTGGTAGAATTATTAAATTAAAAAGTATGTTTCCCTAACAAATTTAAAATCAATTCGGTATAAAACGTAAAACCTTAGATAAGAGAAAGATATTGAGTGCAGAAGTATTTTTGGAAGTATTTAATTTTTATGCAAAATGTAGTAAAATATATATATGATATTTTAAAATAATCTGATAACATACATAATTAATAATAATAGTATTCCTTGAATTTTTTATTTCTTTTAACCACTTACAGATGTATTCCTGAGAAATATAACTAAATATGTATCTGGTAATCACTCTTACAAATCATTTGAGACCGCATCTCGTGGTTAATATACACAGTTTTGAATTCTATAACTGAAATTTATTCATGCTGGTCTGCTTAAACTAACTATTTTAAGTACTGCCACTGAAAGTAGTCTAGTAGTGTCATGTCACATAATATTGGGTTCTGGAAATTATATTGTCATCAAACTCTTCTCTCCAAAAGTCGGTTATGGCCTAAAAGACTAACATGCAACACTATCCTGTTAATATCAAAGACTTTCTTAATATTTTGATGCACTTTTAAATAAAAAGCACTGCTTAACATGGTTTAATATTATGCTTTATTGACGATCACTTTATCCTTTTCCTCATTTATTAAAGACACTTTAACATATAATTTAGAAAAACATATATTGAAAATATCCTATATTTCATAAAAGATTTTATTAATTTTATTCACTTAACTTTCTTTTATAACACCCTTTCCATTGCCCATGTATTGTGAGGTGCGTTCCGTTAAGTGTTTAATATAGCCTAGATTCAAAAGAGTTAGGAATTTTCAGAAGGTAGTGTTATCACGCAAAGCATCTGTAATTAGGTAAGTTTGATTAGGTTATACCAGCGATCAAAATAGATCTACTAAAACCTATTAGCTCAATGTGTTACCGTTTAAGGGACAAACTCAGAGCTTTATAAATACTTTAAAACTAAGGCAAACTTTAAAATGCTGTAATGGTAGATTTTGCTGTTGACCATGATCCTAAAAAAAGCCACTAATCTGACATTAAATTTCTCTGCAAATTTTAGCATCATTTTAAAATGAAAAACAATAAGACATTTTCCAAAATGGATAACAATATCAGATTTTAGCGTACCGCTATTCTTACTCGTAGATTTTTGGGCCAAAAACAATATGAATATTGTCGAACACCCACGAAATTTACTGTTCCCCATGCGGTTTCTTCCTATTTAAACGATTTATGACACCACCCAGGAAATACGTTTAAGCAGCAAAAATTGAAGATATCTCTATTCAAAATCGGTTTACCTAAAAAAGTTTTTGAGGATTGAATTAAGCGTTATCATAAGTGCGTTTCAATCAATGGGGAGTACTGTGAAGGAGTTAATCTTGATACTTAAGGATAAACTTGTGTTTTCGATTTTCCAAATTTCTAAAACTTTTTAATAAAAGTGGCCTCTTTTCTTGTTTCTCACGTTATTCACTCACGGTTCAAAAACTTCAAACTTATGAGAATATTACATTAAACGTATATGGTTATGAATATGTACACAAGGTCCTGAGTATCGAGAGACTGCAAAAGTACGTCAAAGATAGATACATATTGTGTAGTTCGCACTTCTTACAACAAATGCAAATATATATTCCGATATAAGCTAATCTTGAATCTCTACTTCTATAAGACTACCTGAATAACTCGTAATCATTTTTCAATGGAAATCTTATTTCAGTGGATCACTCAAGTAATCGCTTACTCCATTGA